GCCCAGGAGGTTGAGGCTGCAGTGAGCTGTGATCATGCCATTCTACTCCAGCCTGGGCAATAGAGTGAGACCCTAACTCAAACAAAATAAAATTTAAAAGAACTCAAAAAACCTTAGGTGAATACCTATGTACTTTCATATTGATACTAATCCATCCTCTCAGCAGTCCTACCTCAGTGTTTTTTGCTACTAGGAAAGCTTCGGTAGCCTTTCCCCACACTCCACCCAACTCCTTACCAAACTAGAACCTTTCAAGTTAAGCAAAAATTCACATCTTCATTGTTTCTGATCTGACTTTTAAGTTGTCTCTGACAACCCACAGAACTCATTCATTAATCTAGTTTGAAAGTTTTATTTTTTTTTATTCACAGACCATTTTTGTCACTCAAAAGTTTATGATGATTAATTAGCTGATCAGATTTTTATTTGTTGTTTATTAACTATGGAATACTGTGAGAGTTGGCAGGTCACCCTTGTGCAGGAGCCATGTTCATCTTCTCTGTATCTTTCCAGTGTTAGTAGATGTGTTGCCTAAGTGAGCACTGATATGGTTTTTGAACTTTGCATGCAGCAGACACTGGCCAGAGGGTTGCACAGTTGGCCCATAGGGCTTAGGCAACCACCTGAGCAGATGAGTAGGAACTTAGAAAGGGTCCTGCTGTGATTAAGCTGTGTTGAAGTTCAAAGAGAATGCTTTCAAGTAATTCTAAATTAAGGGCCAGAGCCAGTATTTTTTGTCTTACCTTGGGTGACTTTTTGATATGGCCAAACTCAGGTGCACTTCTGAATAGGACCCAGATAAACATTCCAGACTGCTATGATGGCACGTGAAACACCTACAATAACCTCTGACTCCTTACGTCAGACCTCCTGGGGCTGACTGCCTTCCTGGGGAGGGTGAGAGTGCTTATTCTTGCTTTTGTTTTTTGAGTTGGAGTCTCACTCTGTCACCCAGGCTGGAGTGCAGTGGCATGCTCACGGCCACCACAGCCTCGACCTGCTGGGCTCAGGCAATCCTTCTGCCTCAGCCTTCCAAGTAGCTGGAACCACAGGTATGTACCACCATGCCCAGCTAATTTGACAGTGCTTATTCTTGCAAAAGCTTACCTTAAGCTGAAGCTGTTTGTGCTTATTACAATGCACATCTGAGTCCAACCACTTGCTAAATTCTTTCAGTGATCTCCCTCTACCTTTAGGTGAAGTCTGAACTCTGTAGCAAAGCCCTTGCTCACCTTACTAGTCCATTTTTTCACTCTTCATGTGATATCCTCTCACATTTCCAGATGGGTTTATAGTTCTCAGAATTGCTTCTCTCTCCTCTGCTTCCCTGGCACTCTGCACTCGCTTTCCTTTTGCCTGTACATCTTCCTGAAAGTCTTCCCTCTCTGAGACTCCATGTACCTCTTCTTGTGCCTTCTAGCCCCATGAGGCTCTCACATTTGTGGATAAATGGCATGTATACCTGCTCACTTGGCCCTTCCTCGGTTTCATTTTTTATTTTATTTATTTTTTTGAGTCAGAGCCTAGGCTGGAGTGCAGTGGCACACTCATGGCCACCTAGCCTCCTGCTGGGCTCAGGCGATCCTTCCATCTCAGCCTTCCAAGGAGCTGGAACTACAGTCATGTGCCACCACACCTAGTTAATTTTATATGCAGGGTTTTTTTTTTTTTTTTGAGTTGGAGTCTCACTCTGTCACTCAGGCTGGAGTGCAGTGGCAGGCTCATGGCCACCCCAGCGTCAACCTGCTAGGCTCTGGCGATCCTTCCATCCTTGCATTCTAAGTAACTAGAAATACAGGCGTGTGCTACTGCGCCCAGCTAATTTTTTGATTTATTGTAGAGATGAGGTCTCACCATGTTTCCTAGGCTGGTCTTGACCCCATGGGCTCAGGCAATCCTCTCACCTCCACTTCCCAAAGTGCTGGGATTATAGGTATGAGACACCGTGTTTGGCTTCCTTCCTCAGTTTCAGACCTTTCAATTAAGAGGGAAGGGCATGTTTGGGACTGCTATTTTGTTTGTTATTGTTGTATCTTCCTCTCAGATTGGAAATTATCATCACTGAGCTTTAATATAAATACATTATTTGTCTATTTTCTCATAAAGACTCCTCTTTCTTTTCATGTTTCATTACCTTAATATATATATTCATATAGCCTACCATCCTGTGAGGTTTTACTTTGAGAAGTACCTCTATTTTTTTTTAAAACAACGGATTTATTTATTTATTTATTTAGAGTTGGAGTTGCACTCTGTCACCCAGACTAGAGTTCAGTGGCACACTCAGGGTCACCACAGATTCCACCTGCCAGGCTCAGGCAATTCTTCTGCCTCAGCCTTCCAAGAAGCTGGAACTACAGGCATGTACCACCGTGCCAGACTAAGTTTTCTTGATTTATTGTAGCGACGAGGTCTCACTAAATTTCCCAGGCTGGTCTCAAACCCCTGGACTCAGGCAATCTTCTTGCCTCTTCCTCCCAAAGTGCTAGGATTACAGGCTTGAGCAACCACACCTGACCAAAGAAATACTTAATTAATATTATTATTATTATTTTTTTTATTTTAGTGTTTTGAGTTGGAGTCTCACTCTATCACCCAGGCTGGATAGCAGTGGCACACTCATGGCCGCCACAGCCTCCACCTGCTGGGCTCAGGTAATCCTCCTGCCTCAGTCTTCCAAGTAGCTAGATCTACCACCCACTGCCACTACACCTGGCTAATTTTTTTTTAAAATTTATTGTAGAGACAAGGTCTCATCAAGTTGCCCAGGCTGGTCTCGAACCCCTGGCCTCAGGCAATTCTCTTACCTCAGCCTTGCAACGTGGTGGGATTACAGACATGAGCCACTGTGCCTAGTGGCTTCATTATTAATATTTGTATTATCTTCATAAATTTTTAATTTGAGTGATTTTTATAAAGAATCCACCAGTCAGAATAAGAAAATAAAATAATAGGGCTGGGTGTGGTGGCTCATGTCTATAATCCCAGCACTTTGGGAGGCCTAGGTGAGAGGATTGCCTGAGCCCACGGACTTGAGACTAACCTGGGAAACTTAGCGAGACCTCATCTCTACAATAAATAAAAAAATTAGCCGATGTGGTGGCGTGTGCCTGTAGTTCTGTTACTTGGAAGGCTGAGGTGGAAAGATCACCTGAGCCCAGTAGGTCGAGGCTGTGGTGGCCATGAACTTGCCACTGCACTCCAGCCTGGGTGACAGAGTTAGAGTCCAACCTCAAAAAAAATATATATATAAATAGGTCAGCATGGTGGCTCAAGCCTGTAATCCCAGCATTTTGGGAGGCTGAGGTGAGTGCATTGCCTGAGCCCAAGGTTACAGAACAGCCTGGTCAAATTGGCAAGACCTCATCCCTACAATAAAAATCACAAAATTAGCCAAGTGTGTTTGTGCACACCTGTAGTTCCAGCTACTTGGAAGGCTGAAGTGGAAGGATCAGCTGAGCCCAGCAGATCAAGGCTGTGGTGGCCGTGAGTATGCCACTGCACTCCAGCTTAGGCAGCAGTGAGATTCCAACCCACCCCCCTTCCCCCAAAAAAATCAGCTCAGAAGAGGAACTGTAGGCTAGCTTGTGGTGGCACACACCTGTGTCCCAGCTACTTGGAAGGCTGAGATAGAAGGATCGCTGGAGCCCAGCTGAGGTGGCCATGAGTGTGCCACTGCATTCCAGCCTGGGTGACAGAGTCAGACTTCATCTCAAAAAAAAATGTATATATATATATATATACACACATATATGTGTCTGTGTGTTGTATAGTCACTCAGTCTTTGCTTCTTCTATTTTATTCATAGATTGGAATGTGTTTTTCTGCCACCAATTTTTCAGTTTAGAATGCATTAGTTGAAGAGAAGAAAACATTATGCTTGCAGAATAGGCTACTGATAAAATTAGAATGATCAGCTTCAGGAATCATTGAACCTAGGTGGTCATTTTTTTTTTTTTTTTTTTGAGTTGGAGTCTCACTCTGTAGTCCAGGCTGGAGTACAGTGGCATGCTCATGGCCACTGCAGCCTCTACTTGCTGGGTTCAGATAATTTTTCCGCCTCAGTCTTCCAAGTAGCTGGAACCACAGGTACACTACTGTGCCTGGCTAATTTTATGATTTTTTTATTGTAGAGACAAGGTCTCACCAAGTTACCCAGGCTGGTCTTGAACCCCTGGACTCAGGCAGTCCTCTCTCCTCAGCCTTCCAAAGTGCTGGGATTACAGGCTTGAACCACCATACCTAGCCAAGTTTCTTTTGTTTATTGAGCATCTACTATGTGTCAGGGATTGTAACAGTGTTTGCAGCAGCTTAGTGGGCAAAACCAAGGAAAATCAAGAAATAAATGGAAGCTTACAGAACTTACATTCTAGATTAGGGAGACAGAAAACACTACACGCAATATATAAAACTCTAAGAATGTTAGATAGTTATAGGTCCTATGAGAAAAGAACATAGTACAAGAGATGAGACATATGTGGGGTGAGTTGGGGGGACTGCGACTGGAGGCAGGTGATAACTTTAAAAGCTGGAATAGATCTCACCACGAAGGTCACATCTAAGCAAGACTTGGAAAAGGTGAGGGAATTACCCATGTGGACACAGGGACAAGAGCTTTCTGTATGGAGGAAGTCCCCCTGCAGGGAGGAACACCCTGCCAGGAAGCTGGAGTAAAGCAGACCATGGAAGAAAACTAGACGATGGGTCAGCAACAGAAGGGAGGTTAGATCTCAGGTTATGTAGGGCCTGTTGGCCATGGGGAGGACTTAGGTTTATCACTTGGAGTGAAATTCGAATTTTAAGCAAAGAGGTCTCTCTCTAAGAACTGTATTTACTACATCTTGAATTATTCACCTCTTACCATGGAATTTGATTTGGCTTTGACATATTTCAGAAGTGCATATGATATTGACACTTTAGCCTGTTGGCTCTGTGTGTATTTATGTTTCAGGCTGCTCCTAAGGTAGTGATGTACTATGTGCTTTGATGTGTTGCTGTAGGATCCTTCTCCCACACCTGAGGATGTCTCCATGAAGGAAGAGAACCTCTGCCAAGCTTTCTCTGATGCTTTGCTCTGCAAGATAGAGGATATTGATAATGAAGATTCGGAGAACCCTCAGCTCTGCAGTGACTACGTGAAGGATATCTACCAGTACCTCAGGCAGTTGGAGGTGGGTGGGCCTTTGTATTTTGGTTGTACGAGCAATGTGGAGTGTATCACACAGGTGGGAAGGAAATGAAGACAACTTTTTAAACTTTTAATTCCACCAACAGGTTTCGCAATCCATTAACCCACATTTCTTAGATGGAAGAGATATAAACGGACGTATGCGTGCCATCCTGGTGGACTGGCTGGTGCAAGTCCACTCCAAGTTCAGGCTTCTGCAGGAGACTCTGTACATGTGTGTTGCCATCATGGATCGGTTTTTACAGGTATGTGACTTGGGGACATTATGCCAGTGGCTCAGTGAACATTGCATTTATGTTTTGGGTATAGAAAACTAAAATAATTACCTCTGAAGAAGAGACCAAAAGCCAGTTTGTGAGAAGCCAAAGAATTAGGTGCTAAAAAGAGAAGCAGTTCAAATGTGTTGAGCTTTTGGTAATGCTAACTCATGGTAGGCATATTTGTGAGGTCAGCCTGCTGAAAAGTGCTTGGGGAAAGGCTATTGCCAAGAACATTCATCAGAGGAAAATGTACCATCAGATGGGCCGAAAGTCCACTCAAAGCCTATGGTCTTTTGGATACTGTTTTTCTTTCTTTTTTTTTTTTTTTTCGCGTCAGAGTCTTACTTTGTCATCCAAGCTATAGTGCAGTGACATGCTCACGGCCGCTGCAACCTCGAGCTGCTGGGCTCAGGCAATTCTTCTGCTTCAGCTTTCCAAGTAGCTGGAACTATAGGCATGTGTCACCACACCTGGCTAATTTTTCTTGATTTATTGTAGAGATGAGGTCTTGCCATGTTGCCCAGGCTGGTTTCGAACCCCTGAGCTCAGGCAGTCCTCTCACCTTGGCTTCCCAAAATGCTGGGATTATAGGCATGAGCCACTGTACCCAGCTGGATGCTGGTTTTCAGCCAATTTGCACAGCTTTCTTAGTGTGGTACTCTTGGGTATTAAGTTTCCTCATCGGAAAATTGAGGAGTTTGGCTAGAGAACCTCGATGTTTGCAGCCAGCTGTAGCTTTGAATCACATTAGAAGAGGAGGAAGGAAGAATTTTATAAAAAAATGAGCAGAGGTATGACTTAGAACATAGGGCATAAAGTAAAGACAAATGTAGGAAAACAAGCTAAAAAATAAAAAGGAAAGCAAGAAAGAAAAGAAAACAAGCTGAGAGGCAAAAGTGATCTTCGGCATGTTTATCAATCAGTCATGCACAGACATTGACCTGTTAGAAGAGATACCAGACATAAATAGCTAATGTGTTATTTGCCAAATGGTAGCCCTACAGATAAGGACTGATTTGTTTAAAATCAACATTTATGATGGTTTAGATCAAGTACAAATTCTGCCCAAACAATAGAGCAATAATTACATTTATAATAATGGCCCTGAGATACTGCAAAATGCCAAGGAACTAGGAAGGCACAATGGTGTTTTAGGCAGATTTTCAGTAATAGGAGTTGAAACAAGAAAAGTCCCAGTTTGGGGGGGAGGGGAAGGAAATTAAGGAAACACTTTGCCCCAGACTAAGAGATTTCCCGACTCTGAAGCATTGGTGACAGATTTTTCAAGCTAAATAATGAGTTTATTTTTGGTGAGGATTAAAGAAATGTTTGAGTCATTCATTAAATTCTTGCTTTTTTGTTTGGCCTCATCTCAATTCAGACCTTGTTGAGTGCCAGGTCAGGGCTGCCACCCATACCCAAGTCAGAATGATGGGGAGGAAGAGTGACTGGGTGCTTGGTTGTCAGACTTGGGTTCTTCCCTTCTTAGCAGCTAGATTATCTGGGGCTGGTATCAGAATTTCTTGCCAGGCTATCTACTTGTAATTGAGAATATAAATGTACTTTCTAGTATTTTTGTGAGGACTGGATGAGGTAATGTGTTAGAATCTTAGCACTGTGCCTGGCACACAGTCAGTACTCAATTATAGAGAGCTGCTATGATCAGTGGTGGAACCTGCTATGCATCTTCAGTCTCCCATGCCTTTAAGGGCTGTGAGCAGAGACAACATGCACTTCTCCAGGAATCGATTCTCTTTCCCTTTCTCCCACTCAGAGCTTCAATCCTCTTATTAGGTGTGACTTCTAACTCATTTGTTTTCTATTAGGCTCAGCCAGTCTCCCGTAAGAAGCTTCAGCTGGTGGGGATTACTGCTCTGCTCTTGGCTTCCAAGTATGAGGAGATGTTTTCTCCAAATATTGAAGACTTCGTTTACATCACAGACAATGCTTATACCAGTTCCCAAATTCGAGAAATGGAAACTTCAATCTTGAAAGAACTGAAATTTGAGTTGGGTCGACCCTTGCCACTACACTTCTTAAGGCGGGCATCGAAAGCTGGGGAGGTAAGTGCCTCTACTTCTGTAGGAGACTTTATTCTTGCTTGGCACCTCATCCCAGAAATATTGACCTAATGAAAGGAGTTTATAGGAAGCATCCTTTAGATAAGCTTTAATGCTTATCTCGTCAGTTCTTAAGAGAAAGCCCTCACGTTCTGTGTTTATAGCATATTGTGGATACGTGAGCTAAGTGAATTTGAGTTCTTAGGCCTTCACCCAGAATTTTGCAAGATAGTATTAACAGTTGTGATTCTGGCTTTTTTTTCATAGGTCGATGTTGAACAGCACACTTTAGCCAAATATTTGATGGAGCTGACTCTTATTGACTATGACATGGTGCATTATCACCCTTCTATGGTAGCTGCAGCTGCTTCCTGCTTGTCTCAGAAGGTTCTAGGCCAAGGAAAATGGGTGAGTGGTAGATTTAATAAGAAATTAATTTGGCTATATTTTAGGCCCTCATGGTATGAAAGTCCTTAACATTTTCACAATGCTGTCCTTGAAGCAACTGTTAAAAGTTGAAAAGCCTAGAAGAAAGCTGCTTAGAACAATCCAGAGGTGAGTTGTCTATTTCAAGGTGCACACAAATATATTACAGAGTTGTAATGAGTGAGGAAGGCCACTAAGAACTGATATGTGGCATTTCTTGGATATTAAGTGAAACAAGCAAGTTGTCAAGCATAGACAAAGCAAAGCCAAGGCCTGACTGGTTTAGTCAGTAAAAACAGAACGAGTCACTTTTAGATTCAGATGAGTAGCCAGAGATGCCAGCTTCCTGTGTCCTTGTCTCACACACCATAGAGGATGAGAGGAAAGCACAAGGAGACGGATGAATGTGGTGCAAGACATGAGCATTCCGTGGTGGAGGAGCTGGTTCTAGACTTGCAGCTCTACCTGGAACCCAGCAGAGCAGAAAGCCTCATCAGAACCTCAGAGGGGACAGCCTTCCCGGGGAGATAGGGAGGTGACTGGGAGGCCACTCTGCTCAAGCCTGCCATCTCCTCCTGTTCCAGGAAGATCACAAGGCACTTTGCCAGGACAGACCAGCTGTGGTTCAGGCCTGCGTGTATACAGGCTAGGTCACCAGGGCAGCATGGTGGGGCTGCTCCTCTACTCAACTGTATTCAGTAGGCTACATTTTATGTAAGAGAAATAGATGTATATGTGTTTATATGTTTGCTAATGCTTCAAAAAATACAGGAGGAATAAACCAGAAACATGAAAATGGATACTATGGGCTTCTGTGGGAGTTGGGTAGAGACGGAAGATGGAAGGACTTTGTATCTTTTTATTGACTTTTATACAATGCAAAGTCGCTTTTTTGACTTTGGAACAATGCAAATGTTTTATACAAACCCTAACATGGAATTAAGTGGACATAAACAGTGTAACAGAACACAGAGGAAAGAATTAATTCAAGTACTATAATTTGAACACAGCATTCTGACTGTGCATCCTTAAGGAGATGTAAGGTTGGACAAAGCAAAGGACCAAAAGCTGTGATGTAAAGTTTGCTTAGTAGGCTCACTGTCAGTAGTGACCTGTTACTATAATTTTGAAACTCTTTTATGGATGTTGTAGGATAAAGCAAACGTATTCATGTAATTAAGGACTAAAATTTTCACTATAAGAAATACGATAATATATTAACATTTAAAAACAAGGTTGCTCCTTACCTAGGAAATAGCAATAAATAAGCAAAAGGAAAAACTCTATGACATCTGGTTTGGAAATAACAGTGAGGATATCTAGTGCCTGCATCTTGGATGTTAAATCCCATTGCCCACTGGAACTAGGGCTCCTCCATGAAAGAGCTGCCTTCAGGGCCAGGCAGCGGAAGCACATGGGTGAGCCCAGAGCAGTTTGTGCCAGATAATAAGCAAATTCTCAAAGATCAATGAAGTCACATAAAAAGGACATAGGAATTGGTTTCAAAGGGTGTTGGCTGACTAAATTGTACCATTAAAAAGAATAAGCTGGCTCATGCCTATAATCCCAGCACTTTGGTAGGCTGAGGTAAGAGGATTGTTTGAGCTCACAGGTTTGAGACCAGCCTGGGCAACTCGATGAGATCTCATCTCTACAGTAAATCAAAAAAATATTAGCCAGGTGTGGTGGCATGTGCCTGTAGTTCCAGCTACTTAGAAGGCTGAGGTGGAAGGATCACCTGAGCCCAGCAGGTCAAGGCTGTGGTGGCCGTGAGTGTGCCATTGCACTCCAGTCTGGGCAACAGAGTGCGATTCCAACTCAAAAAAAAAAAAAAAAGAATAAGCACAGTAATAGATTATAATGTGCTTTATTTTGAAAATTTTATTGTATCATAGGAATGTGGAATACAAGTGAGGATTAACTATTTAAGTAGGCTGCATGCAGGTGAAGTTAGAGCTTCTATCTGGCCCTCACTCCCCCTGATAACGAACCAAGTACCCTTTGTGTTGTCATGTGCTCCCCCATCCTCCTCCCTCCCCTCCTCCTTCCCCTAACAGTGTCCAGTAACTGTCAATCCCTCCCTTGTGCTGATGTGACTAATGTTCATGGCCCAATTATGAGTGAGAGAGAACATGCAGTATTCAGATCTTTGTTTCTGTGATAGTTCACTTAGTATGATGGGTCTCCAAGTCCATCCAATTTGCTGTGAATTCCATGATTTTGTTCTTCTTTATGGTTGTATAATACTTTATCATGTATATATACCACATTTTCTTTATTATAATGCATTTTTAAAAGGTTTTCCAGGCCCATAATGATACAAAAAATAAAATGGGAGGGTATATATATATATATATATATATTTTTTTTTTTTTTGAGTTGGGCCTCACTCTGTCACCCAGGCTGGAGTACAGTGACATGATCATGTCTCACTGCCGCCTTGAACCCCTGGGCTCAGGGTCTGTTTCAGCACCCCAAGTAGCTGTGGCTATAGGCATGCACCACCATGCCTGACTAATTTTTTTACTTTCGTGAAAATGAGGTCTTGTTACGTTGCCCAGGCTGGTCATGAACTCAGGGGCTCTAGTGATCCTTTCACCTCAGCCTCCCAAATTGCTGGAATTACAGGCAAGAGCCACCATGCCTGGCCTTTTTTTTTTCTTCTTTCCTTCTTTCAAATCAGAATTCCAACTAATTAAAGTAGAAGAAATGATAGAAAACTAATTTTTGATCCCCAATGTAATAATTTGTTCAAGCAAGGACCATCGATGAATGTAAAAATCATTAGATAAATTAATGTTGGGGAGCAAGATTCACATGGTCTCAGAACATCCCACAGATCTGTGTTTTGTTGTTGTTGTTGTTGTTTTGTTTTTGTTTTTTGAGTTGGAGTCTCACTGCCACCCAGGCTGGAGGGCAGTGGCACACTTGCGGCCACCGCAGCCTCTACCTGCTGGGCTCCAGTGATCCTTCGACCTCAGGCTTCCAAGTAGCCAGAACTACAGGTGTGCACTACCACACCTGGCTAATTTTTTTGATTTACTGTAGAGATGAGTTCTCTCCAAGTTGCCCAGGCGGGTCTCGAACCCGTGGGCTCAGGCAATTCACTCACCTCCGCCTCCCGAAGCACTGTGATTACAGGCTGAGTCACTGAGCCTGGCCCACAGATCTGCTTTAACTCCATAGCAGAGCTGCACCTTATGATGGGCAGGTAGCACTACCTTAGCCCAGCGATGACACGACACCAGCAGTGGGACCACCCGACTGGCCTGGCCTTCCTGTGTAGTAGGACGAGTACATCATTACCTATGTAGTGCTCGTGCCCAAAACATGTGACATGAATCAAGTCATGAGACATTCAGACAAATCTGGAATGTGAGACATTCTAAAAGTAACTGCCTGGATACTCCAACAAATTTATCAGTTAAAATCAAGAAAGTAGGGGTTGATTTAAATTGTAAAAAAACCAAACACTAAAGACAACTGAATGTACCGGGTACACCTTGACTGTATATACTTGGATCTATAGAATACATTTTGGAGCAATTAGAGAAATTCAAATATTGACAATATATTAGATGAGGATATGGCATTGTTGAATATTTCTCACATGACAATGGTGTAGTGGATAGATAGGAGACTGTGCTTCGTATGGGATGCTTCTGAAACATTCAGAAGGAGTGTGCTGTGACGTCTGAAGCTCACTTTCAAAGGGTTCAGAAAAACTGTGTGAGTGCACATATAGAGAAGGGGGAGTGGAGGGGGCAAATGTTGATGGGTGATGAATTTACAGGAAGAATATGCAGTGTTCATTACATTCTTTCCATTTTGCTCTAAGTTTTGAATTTTTTGAAAAAAAAAGTTTGGTACATGGGACAAATGGCTTATGTTGGCCAAATTACTCTTTTTTTTTTTTTTTTTTTATGATCCAGAGATCTTTAATTTTTGACACCTATTAAGCCATGAATTCATAGGGAATAGGTTCCAGAAGCTCCGGCTCCTTTACGTTAGTTCTCACAAATGTGCTCTCTGGATGGAGCAGGCTGGCACTTCAGCTGAACCCCCCCCACGTGCCTTTCTCCTTGGCTTCCTTCCTTTTTTTTTTTTTTTTTGAGTTGGCATCTCAGTCACCCAGACTGTAGTGCAGTGGCCGCTCCTGGCCACCGCAGCCTCGACCTGCTGGGCTCTGGCGATCCTTCCGCCTCAGCCTTCCAAGTAGCTGGAGCTACAGGCGCGCGCTACAATGCCCGGCTGATTTTTTTATTTATTGCAGAGATGAGGTCTCGCCTGCCCAGGTGGGTCTCGAACCCATGGACTCAGGCAATCCACTCACCTCAGCCTCCCAAAGACGCGGGATTACAGGCTGAGCCACCGAGCCCGGCTTGGCTTCCTTCTTTTTTTGGTCATTTTTCTTCACGCGTTTCAGGAAGCTATCATGACTCTTTGCTTAATATGCCCAATATGCACATTAATTCTTTTGGCAAGAATCTTGCCCCTGACAATAATGCCAACAGCATGCTGGGTGACATTGTAGACTCCTCCTGTCTTGCCATGGTAACATTTGTGGGGCATTCCTTTCTGAACAGTACCCATTCCCTTGATGTCTACAATATCACCTTTTTTGTAGATTTGCATGTATGTGGCTAAAGGAACAACTCCATGTTTTCTGAACGGCCTGGAGAACATGTACAGCGTGCCCCTCCTCTTTCCCTTTGTGTTGTCATTTTGGCGAATTACTAGAAGATGGCAGTTCTGGCCAAAAGCCAAATTATTCTTTTTAAAGAGGAAAAAATTTTTTTTAAAGACAGGGTCTCGCTCTTTTGCCCAGAATGGAGTACAGTGGCACGATCATGGCTCACTGCAGCCTTGAACTCCTGGCCTAAAGCAATCCTTCCACCTTAGCCTCACAAAGGACTGAAATTATAGGTGCAAGCTACCGCATTTGGCTTCGGATTACTCTTTTTTTTTTGCCAGGCTGGAGTGCAGTGGCACGCTCACAGCCACCAAGCTTCGACCTTCTGGGCTCAGGCTATCCTTCTGCTTCAGCCTTCCAGGTAGCTGGAACTACAGGTGCACGCCATCATGCCTGGCTAGGTTTTTTTTTTTTTTAACTTATTGTAGAGACCAGGTCTCGCCAAGTTGCCCAGGCTGTCTCGAACCCCTGGGCTCAGGCAATCCTCTTGCCTCAGCCTCCCAAAGTGCTGGGATTACAGGCTTGAGCCACTGCACCTGGCCCAGATTACTCTTAAATGGGCTCTAAACCTCTGAGCTATTGCCCACCCAGTTTTCTGGGAATTGATTTTTAAAATGCCAATAGTTCTGCATTCTTTCCGTATTTACTCCTGCTGCTTTTTTTTTCTTTAGGGTTAGGATTAAATTGTGGTTTATTTTGCCAATTAAACTGTACATGTGAAAGAAATGTATTTTAGCTCTAAGAATTTGATCATGGCACTCTGAAATAAAGTCAATTTAGATATCCTCACATAGAATAAGTCTTATTATCAATTGGCAACTGTCCTTTTATTTGAATTTTCTCTTTGGGAGGCCAGGTCATGAGGCTGGGTGTGGTGGCTTCTATAAATTCTCTCTGTTCTCTGGTGCTGAACTACACAGGGCCAACAAGACCATCCTGGGTAGTCTTAGTTCTTCTGGATCAGATAGGTTGTTGTCTATAGCACAGCTGATATCTTCGTTCTGACTCCTTCCCTGATTGACGGAATGGTTGTCTGGGCACTCATGCTCATAACAGCCACCTGGGCAGAGCTTTGACAGAGGGTTTGTGAGATGTGCCCAGCACCATAATGGGGGTACTTCTTTGGTTTTTTACTCTGTCACATTTTTCATCTCCTTTCAGTATGCTGACAGAGGTAAGCATGAAAGCTTTGTTCCTTGGACTATCTGTCTACAAAACACACAGGATCATTGGCACTTGATGTAGCCAAGAGTCTCACAATGTCTCATGTAGACCTGTCTCAGCACCAGTGTAATCCAGTATTTTCCAGCTGCTTTAGCCTTGCTGGTCTTGTGGTAGTGGTTAGGACTGTGATTGAATTTCCAAACATAAGTAACGTCAGCATGGATAAAATGTGCTCTTCTAAAGAAGCCGTGGCCCCTCAGTCATGTCGGCTCTTGTGTTGTTTTAGAACTTAAAGCAGCAGTATTATACAGGATATACAGAGGATGAAGTACTGGATGTCATGCAGCACATGGCCAAAAACGTGGTAAAAGTCAATGAAAACCTAACTAAATTCATCGTAAGTACTATTATTTCATAAGCCGTGGAAGGTATTAGAGACTGTGAGTTTTGTAGGTATGTGTGCGTGTTTGTGTTTTCATGTAAATATGTTATTGGCATATGTGAGTCTGTTTTAGCACAAATCCTTTGTATTTTTTCTGGTATGGAAAATTATTGATAAACCCTGAAGGCAACCTCTCTTTGAAACAAGGTCGGTAGGCCAGCCTTGTCTTGACCCTGTTCCTAGTCAGCCAGTCAGTTGCTCAGTGTACCTGTTTACTCTGTGCTGGTACCAGCATCCTGGGTAAGGCTCTTAGCAAGCAGGGAGGACTGGGCTGCTTGTGACTGGGAAGAGCAAGGCCCCACCTCAGATGACTATGTCCACGTTGTGAATGTGCAGGTGAAATTACTCAGGGCATTTGTCCAGGATTTCTTGGAAGGCAATGACTCACCTAGACTCATGCCTGTAATCCCAGCACTTAGGGAGACCGAGGTGGAAGGATTGATTGAGACCAGGAGTTTGAGATCAGCCTGAGCAACATAGTGAGACCCCATCTCTACAAAAAAATAAAAAATTTAAAAAGCAAGCATGGTGAAGAAGATGCATCCTGGGGTCATAGTGTGTCTGTGTGTGGCCCACCTATAAGGGGTACCAGAAGAGATGTGGTGCTGACCTGTGCTCTGTGACACCAGATATCAGAGCTCACCAAGGGGGTGTATGATAAATAGTAAGGTATAGGGCATGGTGGCTCATGCCTGTAATCCCAGCACTTTGGGAGGCAGGGGTGAGATGACTGCCTGAGTTCATGGGTTTGAGACCAGCCTGAGCAACATGGCAAGACCTCGTCTGAACAATAAAATAAAAAAATTAGCTGGGTGTGGTAGGTCGCATCTATAGTTCTAACTATTTGGAAGGCTGAGGCGGAAGGATCATCTGAACCCGGCAGGTCGAGGCTGCAGTGACCGTGAATGTGCCACTGCACTCTAGCCTGGGTGACAGTGAGATTCCAACTCAAAAAAAGAGTAAAGCATTTATACCACAGAAGAGTCATTAGCGTTTTCACAATACAATTTTCTTTGTGGAAGTGTATAGTGTTTTCAGTCCTGAGAGGATTGTCTGGGATTTGCTCAGTACTAGTTGCCACTTGCCTTTTCTTCTTTTTTTTCTTTTTTTTGAGTTGGAGTCTCACTCTGTCGCCCAGTCTGGAGTGCAGTGGCATGCTCATGGCCACTGCAGCCTCAACCTGCTGGGCTCAGGCGATCCTTCCACCTTCAGCCTTCCAAGAAGCTGGAACTATAGGTGCGAGTCACCATACCCAGCTAATTTTTTGTTTTGTTTTGAGTTGGAGTCTCACTGTCACCCAGGCTAGAGGGCAGTGGCATACTCTTGGCCATGGCAGCCTCAACCTGCTGGGCTCAGGCGATCCTTCCGCCTCAGCCTTCTCAAGTAGCTGGAACTACAGGCAAGCACCACAATGCCCGGCTAATTTATTTATTGTAGAGATGAGGTCTCACCAAGTTGCCAGACTGGTCTTGAACCTGCAGGCTCAGACAGTCCTCTCACATCAACTTCCCAAAGTGCTGTGATTATAGGCATGAGCCACCGCGCCTGGCCTAATTTACTGTAGAGATGAGGTCTTGTCATCTGTCCAGGCTGGTCTCGAAACCCTGAGCTCAGGCAATCCTCTTGCCTTCGCCTCCCAAAGTGCTAGGATTACAGGTGTGAGCCACTGCACCCGGCCTGCCACTTATCTTTTATTACCAGTTATTGCTGCTGTCCCAGGGAACCTGTCATGTCCCGATGGCACTTGGGTAACATAAACAAAGCTTCCACTCCCATTCCCCCTCCCCCATTAACTTATGAGAGAAGCAGCTTGCTCCATGGACCTTGAAATAATTTGGTCCTGTCACCTGTGCTACCAGCTGGGTCTTATTCATTAACGAGGATGGGAGGAAATGGTCAGCCACAACTCTCTCTGAGCACAGAACTTTCACTGGCTCCAGCAGTTGGGCGTCATCATACTATCTGCAGATTGCGTGAATGAGACTAGGAGTGAGGTATCAGGTGGGGGTCCTTGACGTGTGCTTAATCACAAATGACTTCTGCAGGCCATCAAGAATAAGTATGCAAGCAGCAAACTCCTGAAGATCAGCACCATCCCCCAGCTGAACTCCAAAGCCATCAAAGACCTGGCCTCCCCTCTCATGGGAAGGTCCTAGGCTGCCGTGGTCTCGGGATGAGTGCTTCCTTCATGGACTTTTTCCTCTAGTTTGGAACTCTTGATTTTATATATAGTCCTCTGATCTGTTTACGAAACCTCTTCCCAGACAGATTTTCTAAATGTATATTCAGGAAAAATAAAGCTATTGATTTTTCTTAAAGTATCCCATGTGTATTATATTTGTGTATCCTATATGGAAAGAATCGGTGGAAGCTTGCTTTGACTAATTTCTTTTTGAGTGATTATGAATAGCATGTAAATGATTGCCTTTATGACTTTGGAAAAGACCTTTCTCTAGCTGGGCAAGGTGGCTCACACCTGTAATCCCAGAACTTTGGAAGGCGGAGGCAAGAGGATTGCCTGAGCCCATGGTTTCAAGACCATCCTGAGCAACTTGGCGAGACCTTGTTTCTTTTTTTTTCTTTTTTTTTTGAGTTGGAGTCTCACTCTGTCGCTCAGACTGGAGTGCAGTGGCCGCTCCCGGCCACCACAGCCTCGACTTGCTGGGCTCTGGTGATCCTTCTGCCTCAGCCTTCCAAGTAGCTGGAACTACAGGTGCGCGCTA